ATTCTATTCTATAATCAGAAACTGCTCAACATGATATTGAAATGGAGAAAAATTATAAATCTTCCGCATAAAAAAAATCCTAGTAATTTGAAAAGAAATTAATATTTCAAAGATAAGGTTATTTGAATTGTTGTTTCATGCTAGTTAGAATTTTGCTAAAAAAGTATAGTCTGTAGTATAAATTATATATTATTTATGTATGCAAAACTGTGAGTTCTAGTGGAAGGCAGTTTGTATTTAACAGCTGTATAGTCGGTGTTTATTTGACCGTTATCAAAAGCTTATGGAAGCTTCAACAATTTGATAAAAATTTAGCTTGAATTAAACATATGAAAAATAAATCTAGAATTGATGAACACATCCTTACGGATTACGTTATCTTATATTTCCTGTTATGGTCGCAATTTTAATGTCCGTAATCTCCTGTATAGATCAACCGTTTATTTTGTCATCTACCGCCGTTCTGATGTTTCATCATAAAAAAATGATTAATATGTACAGTATTCATGTAAAGTACATCATTGATTTACTACTGTTTTGTGTACAGGCTCCACTAATAATATATTACGTACTTTACCTATAAAAAGCTAACTGATGAAAAAAAACCACTTTTAATAGCAGTAGCTGTCATGTACCATGTATGTGGTTTCTACTTTTTAATAATGAAGTAGGCCGTTTTGTATTTCATAATTACAATGTCAAAGTTCAACAGTCATGATTGATTTTGCTTTTGTTTTAAAAACAATCTAGAATATTGGTTGCATTATTCTGTTAATTAATACACCATCAACAACTAATATAAAATGCAATAAATTGAATATATGACATCTTAATTTATTTTAAAAACAAATTAAGTATATATTCAATTTTTATTTTGGATAGATGTGTATAAGAGACAGGTCAATCTGAGTGATCATCATAAACACCATCTGTTGCGCATGCCTTGTCGTGTTGTCGCTATAGAATCACATCAGCCAAAGACATTCTGTGCGTGTGCCTAGCCTAACTTATAACCTGCATTTAAGGTGTGTAATTAATTAATTAAAAAATTAAATAATTAAAAATGATGCACATTTTTGTGTTGAGATGTTAGAAAAATGGGACTATTTTAGAGCATGCTCGGAAAAAAGGGATAATTAAAAGAAATGTTTAGTTCCCCATCTTTTGTTTAAACAAGTCTGTCTGTTAGCAAGGGTCATCATAAATTAAAAAAAAAAAAATGTGTGTGTGTGCGCACTATCAAGATCTCTTGGTCTCCGGTTCAATTCAGCAGGGGGGGGGGCTGAAATGCAAGTTACGACAGCGCACGTCTTTCAGATGAGACGTTTAAGCTGATTACCCTGTGTTCATTATGTCCCATTTTCACATTTGTACACTCTTTGGAAAAGAGTAGGAGACTGTCTCCCTGTATGCTACCCAAGAACCCCACTGGAAATAAGTCTTCTTCAGACCTTCTTGGGTTATCCGTGGTGTTACACTGAATTCATCCATCTATCTGTCCATCCATTATTTAATGAAATTCACTAATATGGTATTATGTGTTTCTTGGAAATTGCAATAATGAATATCACACCGACAGTCATCATGAGTTATAACTTTGTTGATAACACAACATCTATTTGATAAGACATTAAACAGGACTCAAAATTTGTGCTAGCAAACTAGCAATTTGCTAGTAGGTTTGTCATGATTTCTAGGTAAACATTCACAAACCAGCAAATAAAAAAAAAAATGATTGCTGGTTTGAATATCTATACAAAATCTCTTCTAATTAGCCTAAAGTAAAACAAATTTAATAAAATAAAATATGAAAGAAAAACTAATACAAATTTTTATTTTATTTTATTTTATTTATTTTTTTTTTATTATGTTTTTTTTCATCTTGAACACCGGGAACAAGATGTGAAGTGCGCCACCAACATTAATTTTTTTCTGTACGGAGGCTGCGTAGTGATTGGCTTACTACCTTAGACTTTGCAACAGGCTAAACCTACCTGCAGAAAGAAAATTCGCTTCTTTCACATGTGCTTGTTGACAGAAGTCACGGACGATTCGATCGGTAGTTTAGTAGTATAGTTAATTTGGTTTTATTTAAATAATGAACATACAATGTTTTAGGTATGATAATAATAATGTACTATGAAGACAAATAATAGGTTACAACCTAGGCTTCAATTGGCAGATGTTTTAGGCCTAGCCTACTAGACCCTAGTCAGGCTAGGCCTAGGCCTACTAGATACACTAGACTAGCTAGCGGCCGCCTACGAAACGGCTAGCCCCATTCTAAAAGACCAAGGCCTATTAAAATAAATATTGTGCAAACAAGTCTTTTATGTAAAATTTAGTTTCTGTTATGGCCTTTTTCTGTCAAAAGATTTGGCTTGCCACCAATGCAGTTTTAGTAATCTCTATTTTTGTAATCTCTATTCTAGCATATAGCTAGGCCTGCCTAGGCCAAGGCCGAAAAAAAAAAAAACCACCCCTGCCCCTGAACATTTCTGAGGGTGTGACGTTAAACAAGTATATTTTTTTGGCTGGCCTTATTGGAATTTTCAAAATAATGTAATATAAAATTAATATAAAATAAATTTTATTTTTAATTATATTACAGTATTTTGAAATATTGACATCTTTAATATTTAAAAAAATCACAGATACAAAATATAAATTGAATATATGACATCTTAATTTATTTTAAAAACAAATTAAGTATATATTCAATTTTTATTTTGGATCTGATTTTTTTTTTCATATTAAAAATGATCTGAAACTGAGGTGAATGAATGTACAAGGTATAGAAATCAGTTGCTTATACTCAATTGGCTATTTCTTTGTGATATTTATTGTACTACACTCACCATAACAGAAAATATTATTTTAAGTACATCATTAGTTGTTATTTTCAATATATTATTCTAGTTGAGCAACTCATTTTGCTAGTTACATTTTTTACAACTAGCAAATTTTAGCAATAGGTTGCTAGCAGCTAAAAAAGTAAATTTCTAGCTGTGCATTACACTTAAAAATTCATGAGTTAAGTGGGGTAAATAGAGTACATAGTGGTTAAGTATATGATGATGATCTCATTGTAATCATGTTTACTTTTAATAGGCAGATAATTATAATTTGAAATTGCTGGAGAAGCAATCAAATTATTGAATCTATTTAGATCCATTGATTATGATCATCAGTGTAGAAGTAACATGCAAATTAGATTGTTGCGAATGTTGTTAATTGCTTATCTAATTACATCTAATTCATATGTAATGTTTAATTTAAGCTTGACAAGTAGAAGAAATATATTAAATTAATAAATAAGACTAATCAACCGATGAATTTCATGTCAGAAATTGCCGATCATATTGCCGAGCCAGAATTGCCACAGTACATCAATGTTTTGCTGACATAGGTCTAGGTTTCTTTGCTTCAAAATCTGATTGGAAAGTCAAAATTTTGACTAAAACAGGCCATAGCCAAGGAAAATGGTCGTTGGTAAAATAGATGTTTGTAAAATATTTATTTTTAATAGGCATGTACCTCCATTTAAAATCACCAACACTTCGGCATCATGACTTATCAAGTTGATATTTGGGAAATCCCATAGATCATTCAGGGCATGCGCATAAACATGCATGAACAGTTTCGAAGCAAACAGTCTATGATCATTGCCCGCACATGGCACGCTAACGATCGTGTTTTTAATGAAAAAGTGAAAAAGATATATACCATACTAAAGATAACACTAAAACGAACGCTAAAATGACATTTCTTCAGCAATTTTGTTATGTAAAACATAAGTATTATACTACACTATTAAAAATAATACATGTACAACCATTCTTTCACAAACAATGCAAATAAAATTACAATCTGTAGATGACGATGTAAACTTGTGTGTTTGGAAAAATCGTAGTTTATAATATACTGTACGCCCAGGTAGTAAAAATTTGCAGAGACCTAGAAGAATTTAAGGTTGCTGACCTAATGTTTTCCCAATTTCATGGGCTGGATTGATCAAATTTTTTTATCGTCATTGTTAAGCTTTGTATATACTCTCAATTTTCATCTAAAAAAGCGTCACGTGAAACATAAGAGTTGAACACGTTAAACTTTTTTTGATACAGTTTTAATATTACGTGATATGACATCATCAACCTAACATATGGGCACATCACATTTTTTGTTACATAAAATTTTATAATGTAGACAAAGCTTTAAAGCTCTGTCCAAGCTATTAAATTATATTTTAGGAAAAACTGTTGTAGACCCATATATAGTCATGATGTGGCTATATATGGTCATGATGTGATGTCATCATGACCATATATAGGCATGTCACATGTTTTCGTCAAATAGAATTTGATAATCTGGACAGGGCAGTACTTTTGTTTGTTCAGATACGTGCTGTTGTAGTTTCAGACTTTTAAGTGGATGAAATGAATACAAAGTGGAAGCTCTGGAACTCATTACCTGCTTGTGTCCATGGAGCATCTTTTGTTCCTGCATTTAAGCAACAACTGAAAACCTATCTCTTTTATACATTCATTTCTCACAAACTGTAGTTTAAGACTATGAAGTAGTTTAAGTTTTTTTCCCCTCCCTTAAATTCGCAACTCCCTTACTTAAGCCGGCGTTGTCATTGGGATTGTGCAATTCCCTTCCCTTATGTGTTGCGTGTTTTTTTTTTTTTTTTTTTTTTTTTTTTTTTTTTTGCCATTTTTGGTCGCTGTCTTTGCTTGTTTTATTTTTTAAATTTATTTTATTAATTTTATTTATTTTAATTTTTTTGTTTTTATGTTTTTTGAATCTGATTTTGAGTCGGTATACTGTCAGCACCTTGAAACAATTTTATTGTGGAAGGCGCTCTGCAAATACCTTACCATTACCAAGTAACTCTAATTACTTTGTGGTGTGCAAAACAATTTACTAAAAGATTTAGAATTTTAAAAACTATATTAAGTTTATCTAATAATAATGGTTTTTTTGGGGTTTTTTTTCAGTTACTAGATTTGTTCGACAGTGAGGATCCACGTGAAAGAGACTTTCTCAAGACTACTTTGCACCGTATCTATGGAAAATTCTTAGGTCTCAGGGCTTATATAAGAAAGCATATCAATAACATATTTTATAAGTAAGTATATGATGGTAATTTTGTACATAGAAACTGCTTCACTAGTGATACACATTAAGGTATATATATATTTGAATAATGTAACGTTTTTCTTCTAAAAAATTAAAGGTATTAATCATTATTTCAAGGTTCATATTGATTGAAAATATTTTTCCAGGAGCCAAAACAGTTGGGTAACTCATCTCTGATAAATAATAAAGGATAATAAAAAATATTTAAAATATGTAATATTCCTATAATACATAGTTACCAACTGTCTCACATCGTGCGGGAGGGTCCTGCATTTCAAAGTGATTTTGGATGAAACACACATTTTGCAGAAACACATGCGTGATCATAAATTTGTCCTGCATTTAGCTCAAGTCCCTTCGTGATAACGACTTATCAGGAATTCGGGGAAAATGTATTTAAAAATAGAAGAAATTGGTGTTATAAAAATGGTCATGCAGTAGCTTGAGTCATTAGAGACCTTTTGTTTATCTTGTTCGAGAATCAATTCACCGAGAAAATTTCTCTTTCCCTACCAAAACAACAAAGCCAACCACACACTTAGTAGAATTTAGTAGTCGCGTCTGATCTTGCGCGTTCATTGTCACAACCAACCGTTGATTGTGTGACTGGAAACCGACCCCCACCGGGGTTCTGCCCCTGAACCATGGGGACCCTGGCAGCCTCTCCCTCCCACATTCAGTCACCCATTTCAAATTTTTTAGGTTGGTAACTATGTATAATATAAATTTAATAAAACAGTTGACATACAAAGTAATATTATAGATTTCTGTATAGATAGATTAATTGTATAAAACCCAAAAAAAAAAGAAGAAAAATAATACTGTTAAATTGGTTAAAAGTTTTAATGAAAAAATTACAAATAATTATGCAAATTAATATTGAATCGATAAAATTATTTTTAGACTGACTGTAATGAGTGGTATATTTAATATTACCTTGGAAGAAAGCTGTATAATGAAAATGTATTCTGATTTGGGTCAATGCAATAATTTAACTGCCCTCATGAGGCTGAAAACTATTTAATATTCTGTACTTCGATTGTTTGCGTAGGGGTTTGCACATACTGTAGTTAACCCTTTTTCTAAGGCTTATTTAACATTTTTATCCACATTATTTTGGTTTAGTGTGCATTGCATTGGATATTTCGACATAACATTATCTTCCTTTCATCTTTTACCGTTTTCCTATTTCTGTTGATATTTATCTTGTTTACCTATCATTTTTTTTCTCATTTTCCTGTCAATTTTCATCTCCTTTACCTCTTACATCAATTAATCTATATTATATGGCATTAGACACGTGCTCGTTCACCTAACTCGACAGTCGGCACGTTATTGAATGCAACGTGATTTAACCACACGTGTAGCCAATGAAGTCAAATGTATAATTAACTTGCCATCGTGGATGATAAAGAAAAATTAATAATGCCAAGATATCTTGCTTTATTTGATATATAATAATGTCTGTCAAAAGCAAAAGTCAGGAAAACAAAAAATTCTAATTAAAATTTGTAATTGTTCATTTAAAAAGATCAAATAAATAATTAACTTCTATGAAGAAACAGGTAAATAAAAACTTAGCTTTTGCAGATTAACTGAAATTTTACTACCAAAAAATTCCTCAAGTTGATTTATCAACCAATTGAAGGGTTTATGCAAAAGAATATATTGTAAAGGTATTATTTTACTGTCCGGTAATTAATGGGGACATTTTTTTTCTTGTTGAAGTATTAATTATAAGTTAATAACTTACTATATTTTAAGTAGGCATCTTGTACAGCCTGGACAATGTTCCCTTTTTGCCTACCAGACTCTATTTTTGACTCTTGAGACAAACAAAATTATGAAATTATAAAAGTGGAGGGATTGAGTAGGAGGATTAATTAAACTGGCACTGGCTTAAAAATAAGCAAGTTTCTAGTGGGGAATCACTTTAGTGCACAGACTGGGAGCATGCAGACCCCTATCCGCCATCTTTCTTCCCTTAGATGCCACAGGTCACTTGTGCTTACCGATACTCTATGTGCATCTGTGTGTGAATCCTTGTATAATTGATACATATGCATGTCTGTAATTCTTTAGACGCACTCTATTTATTTTTATTGCACTGTACGTGAGATGTGTTTGGCTTTCTATGCAAATGTTGTCTTTCTTATTGATGTCATTGTCTGTGTGTGTTACATTTAACAAATATAAGATTGCAATCTCCATGTCTCTTTCTATTTATTTTTTTTTTCCTACTTGAGATTTCTCCCAAATGTCAATTTTGAAATGTTTTGCCTCCTGCGTTTTAAAAGATTTAACTGTTTTTGTTCTAGAGGAGTCATCGAAGATGAACATAATTATATTGTTACTTTATTTTTAGATTTGTGTATGAAACGGAGCATCATAATGGAATAGCAGAATTATTAGAGATTCTTGGAAGGTATAGTTCATTCATTGAAAGGTTCAGTAATTCAAGATTTATTGTCCCATGTAAAATGCCAAAGATAATTGTATAATCAATTATTAAATATTATTATTATTATTATTTTTGTTTAATAATATAGCAATCAGAGTAAACATTTTTTAAATTAAATTAACAATTTTATAATTTTATTGTTTTTTGTTGAGGGAGACAGCTAACTTGAAAGAATTATGATTCATTTAAGCTGCCCCAACCATTTTTATGTATTATGTTATTATATTAAAGTCAGATAAATAACAAAATGAAATTCACTTATTTTTATGCTTAAGTGATAATTTTTATTTAACTTCAAGACCATTTGTTAGGGGACAATACTACTTAAAGTCAAAACTTGTATCATCAATTATTTATATATTTGTATTGCTGATATTTTTTTCAATACTTTAATTTAAAAACAAGACAAATTCAAACATGCAGTGCGTAAGCAACACACAAGATACAGCAGTACATTACCTCCACATTACTTACACCATTTGTTTAAATGTATTTTTGAGATGTACCTTGATGTACAATCCTAGAAAGCATTTGCTTGTCCAATGTGACCTTTTAATATTAATAATTATAAACAAGCATTTTTAAAGCGCTCTTTGTGCGATAACTGTGCATAGCTTCATTCTCGAAAAAAAAGGATGGTAGGTGGCAGTTCAGTTGTTTTTTGAAGGCTTCAAGAGATTTCTGAAATGAAAGATGGAAGGTCATTCCAAAGAGGAGCAGCAGCTAAGGATCTTGATCCATACTTTGATTTAGATTCCTTAAGTTGAGTACTTGACCTGAGTGTCGTCCTATGGGAATAACGAAATAACTAAGTACAGTTGTATGGTTGCAGAAATACATAAGTGCAACTTAAATGTTTCGAGGTTTTGTATTGTACTTAGTATATCGTACAATGACACTTTGTGTTGGTCCAAAATATCATTTTTGAGTTTCCTATTACAAAACACCTTTCAAAATATTTATGTTAATGTACCGGTAGTTAATATTTATTACTATTATTTTCTTTTCAAGTATCATAAATGGGTTTGCCCTTCCGTTGAAAGAGGAACACAAGCATTTCCTGTTACGAGTATTAATCCCGCTGCACAAGAGCAAGTCCCTTAGTGTTTACCACCCCCAGCTAGCCTACTGTGTTGTCCAGTTTTTAGAGAAAGATCCCATGCTTACTGAAAAGGTGAGTTGCATGCTCATTTAATACCTTCGAAGTTTCCATCCCAAGATGCAAAAAGCAAGTGTATTTTTCTGCAAAATTGTATGTTGCAATAACATTACTTAAATATAAGTGGCGACAATTTGTATGCACGTACACAGAACTTCCAGCCTTGTCATTAACATGTAGACTAACACTCAACATTAAGATGTAGTCCATATAAGAAAAAAGACATAATATTTAGTTTATTTTTTTATTTTTCTACACTGATTTCACACTATATAGTTTGTATCTTTTGTTTGCATGTATTCCTTCTTATATAAGTTACAAATTTTGTATTTGCTGTTGGCTGTAAATACTGTATATGTAAATAAAAATAAATTTAAATAAATGTATGTTAATGCATGTATTACAAACTAGGCCTATACTAAAACTTAAGCATAATATTCATGCCCTACTTAATTGTAAATTTCACTGTTTTTGGGCAACGTTTTTTTGTCCTTTTTAATGATAATAATTAATAGGCCCTACATAATATTTTGCATCTTCAAAGGGAAGCTAATATTTGAAAATAAAATATTAGAGCAGTTGATTATTAATGAATATGATATTGACAATGCTATGGTATATTGTACAAATTAATAACTGAATTGAATAAACTTGCACGATCAATGTAGCATACATCAACTTGACAACAATGGCCTTGTTCATGGAAGTCACATGGTATTAATTTGTTTCATCAAATTATATAAATTTAGTTGATAATTACAAATTCATAAAATTGAATGAGATTAATTTAAAAAAATAGTAGATGGATAGTCTCCTATTCCAAACAATATAATATGATATTTTTTTTTGCTATGATATCATAATGAAACTGATGTTTATGTTTAGGTTTACGCTAGTCTGTGTTATTCTGTATCTGTGAACTATGGATTATATTTTGCAATAAGATGGATTCATGGTGTTACTGGTTTTGGTTCTTTTTTCGTAGGTTATACGGGGATTGTTGAAGTTCTGGCCCAAAGTTCATAGTCCAAAGGAGGTAAGCTGGTTATTATCTGTGCAGAAAGCATGGCCAATGGTTTAAACTAGCAGTGTCATAACAGGTTAAATGGTTTGAACCAGGCAATGTTTGATAATATAACCGATTGTTTAAGCAAGGAAATGTATAGCTTGACTGATTGATTGATTGATTGATTAAACAAGCAATGAACAGGTTAAACGGTTTAAACCATGTAATGTTTGATAACATAACCAATTGTTTAAGCAAGGGAATGTTGAATGACATGACTGATTGTTTAAACCAGCAATGAACAGGTTAAACAGTTTAAACCACATAATGATTGGTAACATAGCCAAATGTTTAAGCAAGGGAATGTTGAATAACTTGACCGATTGTTTAAACCAGCAATGAACAGGATAAATGGTTAAAACCACGTAATGATTGGTAACATAACCAATTGTTTAAGCAAGGAAATGTTGAATAACTTGACCGACTGTTTACACCAGCAATGAACAGGATAAACGGTTTAAGTCACGTAATGCTTGGTAACATAACTAATAGTTTAAACAAGGTAATTTTGAATAACTTGATAACAGGTAATCTTGGGCAACATTTCCATTGGTTTAAAACAGGTAATGTTATGATATAATGACCAATGATTGAAACTATGCAGTGTTTGTTAGATAATGTGACCTTTTATAACAAGCAATATTAGATAGCCATTGCTTTCATCAAGATAATATAAAGTAATATAACCAGTGGTTTAAACTAGGCAATGTTATGTACCATAATAGTTTCAACCAGGCAATATTTCATAATATACAATGGTTTAAATATAGTTCTGAATAGCATGACCAATGGTTTAAAACAGTCAGATAATATTACCATTGGTTCAAATCAGGTATTAATTAGATAACATGACCAATGATTTAAATCAGAATGGAATAAATTTACTACAAATTAAATTCACTGATCTCTTTTTACTTAACATTAGGACCTTTTTCTTTAGTTACAATAATCGGTAAATTATCGTTTTGGTTTTGCTTTCATTGCTGCTGACAATCACGTTATTGTTATTTATTCCATAATCATTATTAATATAATTATTTCAATGATTTGTTAATTACCAGGTAATGTTTCTGAATGAATTGGAGGAGATCTTGGATGTTATAGAACCTACGGAGTTTGTCAAGATCCAGGAACCTTTATTTCAGCAACTAGCAAAATGCGTGTCTAGCCCTCATTTCCAGGTACGTTGCCGCGCATCTCATATTAATATCGTTTAGTTCACGGCATGTCAACATCACTTTTTTTAGATATTCGCTTCAAGCTGTTAATTTGCTTTATGTCCTTGTCGTAATACTCTTAGTAACACTATAAAAGTATAACCTTTAACCTTTCTGTACTTTCTAAGTAAATGGAGATCTGTTTGGCTCAAGCAGTAAAACCTGTATTTGTATTTTTTTTTTAACGCCATAAGACATTTATATCATAATTAAAGGTTTTTTTTTTTTACAGTATTTATTAATTGCTCATTATGAATATTTGCACATAAATAAAAGCAATTCTAAACTGATATTACCCATTAAGGGTAGTTAGGTCATTTTCAGGATGTATAAAACAGAGTATAAAAGCTTTAAAAAATATGGTAGAATTTCAAAGATCTAAAGTCTTTTTTTTAAACCAATATATAAATAAAAATATTTATCTAATATAAAGCCACTATTATAAACAATGTATTATTAAGAATTATCTTTAGTTTAAATATATAAAAACATCTATAGTTAAATTTATAAACAAGTAAATCTTTTAATTTCCCATATCCATTTGTTTTATTATTTAGAAATGGAATAGGATTTCTACATAATTTACAATGTCACATTAACAATTGTGTTGTATCTTATCCACAATCCCAATTATTGGAAACAAAATTGGCTCAAGGATGATTATTATTATTTTTGCTGCTTGCTATTACTACAGCTGCCATTTGCTACTATTACTGCTTTTTTTTTTCTTATATAGATAATTGATATACCTTATTTATTCAAATAAAGGCCCAGCTTTGAATAAACACTCCCCCTCCCCAAATATATTCTCCCTCTAGAGCCGCATTTGAAATAGATGCCTCCCTCGAATAAACTTCTCCATCAAAACTCCCCTCAACAATAAACGCCATAGGCGTTTATTCGAGTAAATTTGGTAATTGTTAAATAAATATTTTTTAACATGCTAACTTATTCTACTCATACTGCATTTTTACAAAGCGTAGTTGACTTGAATGTTGTTCTAATTGGTAAAAGTAATTTGTTGTCAGTGTATTATTGTGAGAATGCAAGTTTCATGTATCAATATATGTGACAAATAAGTTGAACCTTGAACCAAAAAACGGAGTTTTAATACATACATACATGTACATGCTGTGTATTGAAGATATTTTTAGTCATACGCTTCAATTATAATCCATGCAGGTAGCAGAGAGGGCGCTCTACTATTGGAACAATGAATACATAATGAGTTTGATTAGTGATAATGCTACAGTGATATTGCCCATCATGTTTCCATCTCTCTACCGGAATTCAAAAGCTCACTGGAATAAGTAAGTTCATGTCTTCATAACATAATAAACTGAATGGTTTTGAGTGGTGTTTTTTTTTGCCTGGAGTGTAGAAAAGGGGGGGGGGGGCACTTTAGTACTTCTTGATCCACCAGGTCAAAATGCATGTCTGAAAAAAAAAGAAATCAATGTCCTATTAATGTAATGTAGTGTGATTTATATTGCGCTTTATACCAAAGCTTCTGCCCTAAGGGTCTCTTTTTGTCTGAGTTACCTTGTAAACCGGTACTAACTTTTCTCGTCATTTCATAACAGGTTCTCTATATACCAGTTCACTGGGGTAATCCCCAACTCGTCTCGAAAGATGTAGTGGGTTCTTTGATCAATGATCCAAATAGTATTTGTAAATCTGTTGTTTGTCTTGTTTGAAAATATAACTAATTGAGACATGAATTGAAATAAATATTCATGCTAAGATCTTCAATAGATAATAATGGAGTTTTTTTTAAATTTGTTGAAGCTGTAGTATTTTTTTATGAGCTTTGTTCTGTGTGTATATTGTAGGACGATACATGGTCTGATTTACAACGCCCTCAAACTTTTCATGGAGATGAACCAAAAGCTGTTTGATGAGTGTACCCAAGTTTACAAGCAGGAACGACAAAAGTATGTTGCCAAACCAATTTTAAGTATGCAAACCCATGTTAGCTTGTGTTGAAAAAAAAGGTGAAATTCTCATTTTTACATGCATTTGGACACCGCGATAATTTGATACCAAAAATAAAATATGGGAAAGCCTCTAAAGCAAGACTTCAAAAAAAAAAAAGGGGAAAAAAGGGGGGGAGAGAGAGAAATTAGATAAAAATTCAGCATTTTTTTGTGCCCGCCTCCACATTGAAAGCCCCAAAAAGAAGATATCTATTTCTTCCTTAATTATATAAATTTATACCATTACTACACCATTCACATTCATCAACTAAGAAGTAACTAGTAAGGTACAGGTACTAAGTATTTTCTACAATGCCTCAACTTTCAGCAAAACCGGGTTGCTAAATAAAAAAACAAAATTTTATTACTTTTTCTCCTCCCTCTTTCGACTGTCTAAACAAATAACAAGGTATAATGTAAGTCTCCTACTGTAGTCAATTAAACACTTAATACCTCGTTTAAAAGGTCAAGTAAGTTATCAACTTACAGAGCTAAAACAAATGAGTTTTCGCAGAATTGTGAACCTTTTACTACAAATATCCTTGAATTGATTACCCGTCAGTTTAAGAGTCTGGGAAAGAAATATAGAATCATTATTTATGAGTCCATTAATTAGCAAGGATGTTTTTTCTCATTCTAATTTTAAATCGAGAGCTATAAACTGACTTAAATAAGCAATTCCAAATCACATTTTTAAAAGCTTTTTATTTTATTTTATTTTATTTTATTTATTTAGACACACAACATATGCACCAAGAATTGTCAATAGCGAACACTGTCCTAGTTGTAGGTGACAATCCCTTACACAAGTCCCCTGTTGTTAAATGGATATGCCACGTAGGACAGTGATTAAGTTCACTTATTGGCATATCCTTGGCCCTCGTGCTTAAAGAAATGAAATGAAAATGAAATGAAATGCTCACACGATGCTTTACACAAACTAAATCTCAATATGAGATTTAGGGAGTGGAATTGTTTTGGTCGGGAGAAAAAATCCTGCAACACTGACAGGAATTGAACCCAGGACCCTGGAATTGGAAGGCAAGCATCTTAACCACCAAGTTATTCAGCTCCGCTACAAAATGTTGAAATAATTTCATTTTTAACACAAATGATATATCTGATAATAGTTATTTACACAAATAGTCAAATCATTTTATTTGGCTTCTAATGGAATATAAATATTATTTAATTGAATAAACAAGCCATTCTCCCTTAGAAAGTTCAAATGTGTTCAATATAAATGATTATGGTGTTCATAGCTAATAGAATTCATATTATATTGGGTATTTTTTAACCCTTTCCATGTATATCTTGAATGATGTTATATTTTTAAATCTTATTTTTACATATTTATGCTCATCCTGTAATTGGTGTTTTCACTGTTAGATGTTTGAATAATATACCAAATTTTTAGTGTGTGATTTATATTATAATCCAAAATTCAGCATAAATCTGAGATTTATGGTTTTATTTGTTTTTATTCAATAATTTATAGAAATGAAATTTAATTCTTATTCAAAAATTTAAGTATTATCATTACACTAATACTAGTATCCCTACTGAAGGGCATCCTCCAAAAAGGCTTTTAAACCCCTTTGACTTGGTCTTATTTTATATAATTCCTACTTTACGGAAGTCGTCTATTTTGTTTTATCACTACTGTTCATGGAAACAGCCACGATATGCAATGGATTAAAAGATCCATTATTTAATACTGTTTTTATCCAGACTTAATCCAAAGCATATGTCGCTACTAATCTCATATATCTTAACATTTGATTGTTAGGTTTAACATAACCGTGTGGAAAGAGATTTTAGGTTGGTTTTAATTATATAGTTCCATAAAAGGGTATGAAAGAATATTCAATATTTTAATCTTTATCTCTTCATAAACAAAGTTCAGAGTTATTAAACCTCTTCTTGTATAGGCTTCCTATTTTTACACACTTCAAAAAAGAAAATCTTTAGTTTGCCAGCTCCCTTGAACAGGTTTGAGATTCTGTAACTGTATTCTGTGTAACCTTTTCCCCCCCCCCTTTTTTTTTTTTTTTTCTTTTTTAATGTTCTATTCAACTTTTGGCCCAAGGCTAAGAATATGCCAAACAGCAAACCTAATCACTTTTTTAAGTGGCAATCCCTTCACATGACAAACATATACACAAGATGCTCCACATAAAACTATGTCTCATGAGGCTTAGAGAGTGGAGTTGTTGTGGTTGTGAGAAGAAAAATCCTGTTACTATGATATGAGCCGAACCCAGGACCATTGGATTTGAAGGCAAGCATCTTAACCACCAAGCCGTTCGATTCCACTCGCACAAGCGCTGCAGCGTTTTATGAGTATATTTTATTTTAAATAGTAGACATGACGCTAATCGAGAACATCTAACATATATATATATATATATATATATATATTTTTATTTTTAAATATATTTTTTGTGTTGATTTTATTTTTTTAGGGAGAAAGAAGCTATGAAACAAAGGGAAGATGCCTGGTTGGAAATTGAGGTCAAGGCTAAGAATAATCCTTTAGTAAGTCAACTTTTTGATCCATTTTGCCTTCCATACATTGCAACATACTCTATCAGATTTCTACACAATGTAAATTTATCTTCGTCCAGTACGAAATAGTAGAGAGCACAGAAAATATGAATTAATCAAAACATAACATTCTGAGTACATTTCGACCATTTGCTTACTGAGCTCAACATTTTTTCCCAGTTAATTGTCCCCTTCCCACATGGGTCAGGACATAATTTCATGTTGGCTATGAAATATCAAGGATATCTAAGTGTTATAATCTAAGGACACAGTAGTAGCTGAGATCTTCAAACATGATGTAGTTTTTTTAAATGTAATTGATAACAATATAGAAATATAAGATTTATTCGTTTACACCTTTATAACAGAGGAACAATCTCACTAGGAAAGGTTTGACCCATACATAACTTAATAAGAAGTGTAAAACGTTATTATTAACTGAAAATATTATTAATAATGAATGTCAAATTAAAACAAAACCTAAATACAATTAGAACTAGGCATAAAAACAACTTAATTTAGTTCTATGGGACATGATATGTTTTGCAATGGTAGTCAAACATTTTAAAGATGTGTACATTTTAGTAAATATAAAATTGCCTAGAGGCAAATGATCTTAAATTCAGAAGGCATTGGTATATTGTTGTCGCCTTAATTACACAAAACATACGGATGGACAAAGTCCTTGGCTGTAATTGTGATTCTAATGCTTATGTCTCAATAAAGCTACTTAGTCTTGATATCATTTATAAAAAAAATTTTAACTTAATTTTTTTTTTCTCTTGAAGTATGATAATTTCCACAAGAGTCTGAACTCCAACTCAGGAGCTAGTAGTACCTTGATGGAAGTTGAAGATGATGAAGATGTTGTTTTAAAGAAAGGAGATGTAGATAAACAGGTTGGCATATCTATTTTTTATTCTTGTTCTTTCTTTCTTTCATTCATTCTCATTCTTCCTTTTATTCTTGTTTTCATTCTTGTACCTTCCTTCATTCTCATTACTTCTTTCTCTCTCTTTCTCAGCTTTCTTTCATTTTCATTTCTTCTTTCTTTCCCATCTCTTTTGTTTTCTTCCTTTTGTTTCCAATCCTTTCAGTGTCATTGCATCGTTCATGTTGTTTTAAACTTGCGTCACATCTACACTACATACATATATTTTTTCATCTCATTATTTGTTTATTATTTTGTTTTTATTCATCACTCATGTGTTTCCAATTCAGACATGCATGAATTGTTATATGAACAGCATTATAAAAATCTAAATTGTTATTGATTTTATTATTACTATTATATTGCAGTTACTGTCAATTACTATTATTACATAATCATTAATATTGGTACAGTCATCATTTTTGTAATTTTTATATTGAAATATACCGGCATTAGTAATTTTGTCGTTTGCTTAAAAAAAACACAGATGGAAAAGTACTACTAAATTGTCAGTGTTCTCCCCAGGCCCTTGAAGCATCATGCATGATGCTTGGCACTTTCCCCATGATGCTTGACAATTTGCCATGATGTTTGGAACATCTTCCATGATGCTTTTATCAGGGGACAGTTAAATTATTTAGTTGTTCCCTGCTTCTATATAGTCTTAAAGTGCAATTTAGGATATATCCAGTTCCTCCTAATTATTAAAAATACCTTGTGTCAGTCCCAACTATGGTGGACTTTACACTTACCATTACGCTTGCCCATGATACTAGAGAGAACACTGATTGTTATTGTTTTTATTATTTCTGATATTATATTACTATTAATGTCAAGATCATTTGTACTATTATTATGTAATCATCATTACTACTACTATTGGTATAATCATCATTATTGTCATGTTTTTTTTATCACTATGCCTTATAAGGTCTATTTATTACATTAAAATTTTTTTTTTTAATAGGCTCAAATTGGCACTAAGAGAAAAGAAACCAAACCATTATTGAGGAGAAAGTCGGGACTCCCTCAAGATATATCTACTGTGCGCGCTATAAACGACCACCAACGTCCCGACGAGTACCTATCCACGTCATCAGAATCCTAAAACAACCGGTACGCGTGTATCGGTCACAAGAATGTGTGTTGATTATGAGGCGTATTTGCCAAAGGGGTAAATGAAATATGACAAATGGAGTGCGACCTTCATTTCCCCAAGAGATCGGGTCCAAAATTTATCGGAATAAAAATCAAATAGATTGTTGGGGTATTTGTTTTGATTATTTTGACTATTTGTTGTAGTAGTCGACAGTTGTGTGACATCCAAGGGAAGGGGACGGATCTGTTCAAAATGAATGTACTATACAACTATGCTGTTTGTATATTATAGGCGACAATTGTATCTCTTCTTTTGATTCTTCTGTTTAATGTTTATTTTTTGTTGATTTGTATGTTTATCCTGATTTGTTTTTAACTCATCAAGTTATCAGACATTTTGATATTTCCTTTATTTGATGAATTAAAAAAAAAAGAAAGATTTCTATGGTAATGTGCTTTAATTACATCTTTTCATATAATTTATATAAGTAATTAAAACAAGATTAATGGGCCTTGGGAAACATATTTGAGTGATTTGTAATGCTTTGATACCATTCACTGTACTATCTTTAAATAATCCTTAATAAAATAATAAGCCCAAGCTCTAGAGTATATTAAAACTGGATTTTGGGTGGTATAAATTATAGATGCTTCATGTAAAAAAAAAATCCTTTAAGAGTGTTAATAAAGTTTAAAAAAAGAGTTTTTAAACAATGTGTTATTTCTTAGCACCAACCAAATATTAATTCAGATGCTTTTTAAAGCATGTTATTTGTATTTTTTTTTTTCTCTCAAGCCTCTTTTGTAGAACCACCCTTATTACACCACCTTATTATTTTTCCCCACTACATTTATTTTAGACTAATAATTATAATTCTTTCTATTGTATTTCATCATCCTATGTTTTTAAGCCCATAATTGGATTAGAATGACTGAAGTCTTGGACAAGACATATTCTTAACATGTGGCTCCATAATACAGTTACCGTACACAATTAATTAATCATTGTGTGTAATATGAAATGCAATGGACATTCTCTATATTATTACTTTTTAGTTATATGTATTATGGTTTTACAAAACTAATAAATATTATTTCGGTAATATATTTGAAAGCATTTACATTTCTCTGTTAATCGCTCATAAGCAAACGGTCATGTGTTGCATGTAACCATCGAACCCTGAGTTATTTTTCTTACAAATCTTGAATTTCCATCAACACTTTAATAAATGCAGTAATATTTGAATGCATTAGTATTCAGTTAATATAAATCCTTTCTTACCAATTAGAATATAACTTTTAAATCCTGAGTTGTTTTTGAACAAATCTTTATTTTTTCATCAACACTTTTAGAAATGCAATAATATTAACTGGTTGATATTATATTGGAGCATGTGTGTGTAATAATGGTCAACACTATCAATATTAGAATGGTGTTTTGTTTGAGGCTATATACTATATGAGGCTTGCCATTCCAAAACCAGTGTGCTGCAGCTAAATCTTAAACTGAGTACTTAGCATAATAATGTGGCAGTATTGTATACTTTAGTACAGAGAAGCTGTAATGCTTTTACTCATAACTTCTGCAATACTAAGTTGATTCCAGTAATTGACCCATCATTTAAAAGCTTATAATTTGGAGAATATGAATACAATATATAAAAAGGTAATTTTTTCCTGTTTTGGTCACTTATCAGGGAAAAATTTAGGGGGGGGGGCAGCCTGGCCCCGACCCTACCCTTTTGGGAGGTAAAAAAAGAAAAAAAAGAGAGAAAAAGAAAAAAAATGATAGTCCAGAATGCCTCAAATGTTATGTTCGCCCGTCTAGAACACAAACATTTCGCGGGGGCATGCCCCGGACCC